AAGGAGAGAAGGGAAGCACGAGCCAGTGCTGGGGGGAGCTGGCTTAAAAGCTGGTGCCTCACCCCCACCAGTACCGCCTCCATTGGGGGCAGGGAAGGCAGGGGGCAGCAGCATTAGTGGGGATTGAAACAGTCCCGCTCACGCCTGTCCCACTGCTGTTCCTCTCCCTTTGGAATGTACAAGAGCCACCTGTGGCTCTTGTACATTTCAAAGTTAGAGGGGAACCCATGCCAGTTGGGAATGCTTTGCTCCCTACTGGTGTGGGTTCCAGCTGCCTCTCTCCCATTGAAATGCACAGGAGCTGTTGCGGCTCTTGTACATTTCAAAGGGAGAGGCACAGTGGGAGAGCGCATGCCCCCCTTATCAACTAGTCAATGGAAATTCCATCGACTACTCGATTAGCCAATTAATCGAAATTTAACATCCATAGTTATAACCAGGTAAAGACTATGACCTCTGTTTATTTCACTATCAGAAACATTGACAATCACTTTCATAGTGTAAATGAACCCTAACATTCTAATATTACAAGAGCAGCTATGGAAAAAATTCAAAAAATATCCAGACAAGTATCATGTTACATGCTATTACATAAAAGACAGGCTTACAATATTACGAGTCACTGTTATTTTACTTAAACCTTGACTGTTTCGCAGTGTTATTATATACTTCTCATTTCACATCAGAGGATCTAGCACTATCCCAAAGCAGGAATAATGGTGTTAATGAGCAATAGTTCATGAATTACTGATAGCTTTATTTTCTAGTTGATATGGCCTTGCTTTACAACCACAGAACTGCATCTCTGAAATGTATGTAGAGGTACAAATTAACAGTCTTTTTATCTTTGTTAACTCTGTACGTAATTTGGGCATGAATACTATACGTACAATTAAGCATGCTCAAATCTATCTTTGTCATATCAGGGCCTAAGTCAGCTGCAGAAACATTTACGGTAAGTATACAAATTTAATGGCTATTAAAGGCAAATAAAATGACAATAGCCTTCTGATTCAGTTTAGTTTTACAGCTCAAATAGTGACAAATATATAGCTATTTATATATATTGCTCCATTTCTTCAGGTTTATGTTTAGTTATTCAGTCACTACTTTAAAGGAAATATTGAAAAACAAAGTAGTCAAGGTCAAATAATCCTGTATAGTTAATTAACCTCTTTTAACAAGCAGGAAGACTATTAACCAAACCTTGAATGTTATAATACTGGCCTTCTTTGTAAAGCACGCTGAAATCTACTAATGAAAAGCACTATATAAAACCCAGATGACACTACCGTAAATCACCATACACCAAACATGCTTTCCTTTCAGAGGGTTATCAGTCATTAGGCTACAAAACCTCAGCTCTAAATTCTATCTAGAAAGAAGCTTTGTTTATGGGATGTAAAATATTTTGCTTCAGGAATGGTCTCTGAGAGGCCTTGTACAGATACAGAATGTAGTCAAGAGACTTTATGATCATCACTAAGTCTTGTTCTAGTTCAATGTAAGTGATATTCCCTGGTCTAAATCCTTGGTATTTCAGTGCAGGCTGATCAATAGTTTAAGAAAGCAACTACCTTCTGTTTCTGTGCTCAAAGATTGAATTGTGTTATCTTAAACACTGAAGCTAAAGAGCAAGATATTAGAAATACATTGGTAGGTATTGGGATTAGATCACTTACGTTAATCCTGACATGTGACCTCTTCCATCCACGTCATATCCCCCTCTACCGCCTCCCTGTGAGCCGCCATATCCTCTATTATCTTCTCCATACCTACTCTTTTCACGGCGACCATCTAAAGAACCACAAAGTATGCGTAAATGGCATTGCAAGTTTATACCCATTGCTTAAATTTGACAGTGAAAAATAGATGTTTTAAGCTCTTTTAAGCTGTTCCATTCAATCACAAGGTCTAAACCAAGTTCCCATTTGTCTTCCTAGATTACTATGGGATGGGATATTCCTTAGAATATGGATACCACTATATTCTGGGTACTTCACATTTTGTAGAAAATAAATCCATAGTGCCGAAAATCCCAGCTGAGTTTCTCTTACAAAATTACTTATGTCCCTTTTTCAGGGTAAGACAAAATTTTAATCTCCACATCACTTGTTTGTCAAGACAGAAGCTGAGATGTTGATGCTGTGATAAGGAAAGCAGACCAGACCACTGCCCAGGGCAGAAAAGACAGATTCCAAGGTACCTAGTGCCTAGCTGCATGGAGATATTTCTTCCCTCCACCTCCCAGTAACCTTCCAATATGGGCAGGCAAATAAGAGTACAAAGCTCTGGAAGATGGGACCAGTAATAGCCAGCACTGATTCTGCAGCTTCCATAATATCAAGGAAGGAGCAAGAAACCCTTCCTCACACCGCAAAACTCCCACTCTTTCTGTCTCTCTTCTACCTGCAGCTGCAATCTCTCTGATCCTCTTCCTCCACCCATGCTGCTCCAGACTCAACATATCGCTTCACTCCCCACGTGTCTAGTCTAGAAAACAGTGGACTAAAGAAGAGACCCTGAAGTGAGAGCCATCAGGGCAGAAGGATGCAACTAAAGTGCTGCAAGCCAATGGGACAGAGTAAACAGAGGGAGCAGAAGCCTCAGGAAAATACAGGCTCCTATGCCTTAGCCACTTTGACGAAGTGGCAGAATTTAGAACAGGAGCAGCTTCCCTTTCCTGAATTCTGCCCATAGGACTTGGCTCCCATTCAGAGCCCTTCTCTTCTTTTCAAACATACTTTATGAAGAGGGGAGAGACGAAATATTGCTTGCATACAGGGACAGTTATTTCCTCTGGCTATCAACTCCCCGTACAGAGCTTAGATCTCCTTTGCACACCACACAACCAGCCCCACATCCAGTCTTAACAAGGAAATGATACAAGGGAAGTAAATTTACAATCTCTCTAAATATCTTCACCTTTTCTCCCCTCTCAAAAGGAAAATGTGCTTCTAGGCACTAAGGACTTTCTGGAAAGCACGTCTGGTGGGATTCACCCTTTGCAGACATTAACTTCCTTCCCTCCTCTTAAAAACAAACACTCCAAATGAAAGAAACAATTGGAAGGCTGAAAAAGGGCATGCCAACCACTTGATACTGTTTAATTTAATTAAGGAAGCTGCAGGCTTAGGGTGAAGATTCTTAGAATAGCAGTATCCATCAGCAAATGCCACCCTCTAATCTGAGGTGGAAACCACTCTTCCCCAACAGAAAAATGAAAAATGTTTCAAGGATCAGAAAATTACTCTCAAAAGGTGTAGAAACTCACATATGGACACAATTGTTAACCCTCCCTCCCCCAAAATGTCATGTGTACGTAAGTTCTGCATCTCCATCATTTTGCAAAAACCACTCCCCAAATTTGAGAAAAAGGCTCTCTCTGCTTTCCACCTCCCCCACAATAATCATCTGTAGGTAGAAACCCAGAACAGTTCATATCACAAAGCAGAACCAAGCTCTTCAATTTAACTTGGCTAAAGACTGCTAAACTCATCCTGCGTGCTCTACCTTGTGTGTTGTGACTGTAGCTTTCCTTTTGCTGCGATTGATAGGACTTCTCATGCTGACCGTATGAACCTTGTTGCTGGTCATAGTTTGACTGTTGGTCATATGAGCCCTGCTGCTGGCCATAGTTTGACTGCTGGTCATATGAGCCTTGCTGCTGACCATAGTTTGACGGCTGACCATAGCTTGACTTGGGTTCATATGAAGAGGATCTTCCACTTAAAATAAAGAGGAATAATAATTATTATTTACATGTGAAAGATTTGTAAACTGCTAAAACTTCCTGAATAAATAGCAGTTAAACAATAAGAGATGGTCTTTAGCCACTTCCTGATTGCTAAAACTTTATGTTGTTGAGAAAAACATCAGACCCTTTCTATTTGCTTGCCCAATCTTATTCCTAAAGCAAGTTTGCCTAAACAGGAAAAAACAGCAGGTAATTAGTGTTTAAAGTCTGCAGTAGGTTGTCTTGCAGTGTCCTGGAATTGCCTCCTTTTCATGCAAACCACCTTATAATGAAAGTAAGAAGCCTTTACAAAAATCAAATACCTCAGATGTCTATGTATGTTCTAACTACATGACTATACAGACTATTTAGATCATAATGCATTATGGCTTTTTAAATAACCTTAACTTTAAAGCAATATTATGGTGTCAACAATGTAAGCACAAAAGTAGCTAGAGAAATCAGGCCAGAAAATTGTTAGAAGAAAAAAGGTTAGTATGAGTGTTTACCCCACACTAAAAGCTGGAAGCTGTTGTTAAAGGTTGTTTTAAGAAGTTTCCTAATATAGCTACCAAGCAGACAGTGTTCCCACATCACATTCATATAGGTGCACAAAGCAAAAGTCAAGCGGTGAGGGTGGTACCAAGTGTGGTAGGAGGCTCAAGCCTGGGGTAGAGGGTTGGGGTGTAGAAGTGTGAGTGCTCCACCTAGGAGCTCGGATAAGGGACTTACGGTGGAGGGTCCTCCAGGGCTACTGTGAGGAGAGAGAACTCCCCCCATCTCCTCACAGCAGCACCTGGGCTGTGGAGGGAAGGAACCTCTTCCCACCCAAGCTGCTTCGGAGCTGGGTTGGGGAAGGCCACTCCAGTAGTGGCAAATCCCAGCACTACAGCAATGTTGCTGTGGGGTTGGGCCGTCTTGGCAGCATTTGGGCTGAGGGAGAGGTGCCAGGACAGCCCGGCTGGAACATCCCTTCTTTGGCTGATAGGTCCCCACCTTGAGCAGATTTCTTGAATGCCTGTGAAGCACTAACTTGGTGCAGCCACACAGCTTAGATAATATTTAGCTAACAAAGTATCTCTGGCAGATTATGCTTGAAACGGACAGAGTTAACTTTGTTTTCTTACCCTCCTGATGATTCTTTTTGTTGTTCCTGGTTGCCGTAAGATTGTTGACCATAGGAGCTCTGATTTTCATAACCAGAACCACCACCATATCCCTGTTGTGAAGTGTGTCCATAAGCTGAAAACGAATGGAAGAACCCTTTAGGGTAATCAAACCATGAATATTTACTAGATAGTAAATTAAAAAAAAGCCAAAAAACTAGCCAACCTGTTTGACTTTGTCCATAGGTTCCTGGATAACTTGTACAGTTCTGTCCATAAGAGGAACTCTCTCCACTTTGCCCATAGCCAGAATAACCCTGTAATTTAGACAAAGGTTTCAAAATAAGATTCACCAGAGGAAATGGTACTTTTCCTTGTCTAGACTGGGGGGTTTACATCAGTGCAGCTCTTTTCCACTGTTTCAGAGCAAGGATGTAAAATCCCGTTTAATCAGTTATCCAGGTAAATGTTATGTTTCACCAGTTAACCGATTAAATGGGGGGGGATGCATTCCAGCCCTCACCATCTGCCATGGCCAGGTTGGAGTGCCCCACCCCTCGCCATGCTGGTTTCCACATGGGGGGTGCTCCAGCCCAGTGGTTATCAGTAAGTATCACCCAATAAGGTTGTTACTTACTGGGTTAATACTTACTGATTAGAGTTAACCACTGGTAAGGTTGTTACTTACTGGGTTAGCTAGTCACATCCCTAGGGATAGCCGTGTTAGTGTATTTCAGCAAAAATGATGAGGAGTCCTGTGGCACCCTAAAGGCTAATACATTTATTTGGGTATAAGCTTTCGTGGGCTGGAGCCCACTTTGTCAAATGCAAGAATTGGAAACTTCAGTTTGGTAGGGATGTATAACACATGCAAAGATGAGTGTGTTACAGTACTCTGCGGAGGATGAGTGCTAATGAGGTCGAGTCATTCAGAGTGAACATGACCCAATCCCAAAAACTGATAAGAAGGTGCAAACACCAAAAGACGGAAAATTATTTTTGTCACGAGCTAGCCACTCCCAGTCTCTATTCACACACAGTCTAATAGCGTCAAGTTTAACCATCAATTCCAGCTCTGAAATTTCACGCTGAAGCCAGTTTTTGAAGGTTTTTTTTGTTGAAGTATGGCAAGTTTCAAGTCTGTCACTGACTTTCTAAGGAAACTGAAGTGCACGCTTACAGGATTCTGAATGTTACCATTCTTGATATCTAATTTCTCCATTTATTCTTTTGCGTAGACACAGTCCTGTTTGGCCAATGTACAGAGCAGAGGACCACTGCTAGCACATGATGACAAATTAGCTCATTGGTAGATGTGTAGGTTAACATGATGGATTGGCTGACATGGTTAGGTCCTGCAATGGTGTCACTTGAGTAGATATGCAGAGCTGACGACGGGGTTTGTTGCAGGGATTCATTTGTGAGCGTTTCTGTTGTGTGGACAGAGAGTGGGGGTGGCTAACTTGTTACAAAAAGTAAATTTCCCTCTTTTGGTATTCACATCTTCTCATCAACTGTTGGGAATGGGATGCAACCACCTTGATGAATTGACCTCCTTAGCACTGGTCTGCCTCACAGTAATGTAACAGCCATCTTTGCACATGAGTGTGTATATATACACCCCTGTCAACCTGAAGTGGATTCCAGCCCATGAAAGCTTATGCTCAAATAAATCTGGGAGTCTTTAAGGTGTCACAGGAGTCCTCATTGTTTCTATTCCACTGATGACTGAAATTAGGGTATTTTCCCTAATGCAGACAAGGCGATCCAAGAATAATCTCTTATTCAGAAAAGGTACTATCTTCTTTTAGCTATTCACTTTAGAAACATGCATCTCTCTGTCCATCCATCAGCCCATTTGTTCAAGAATGCCTCCTAAATGATAAGAGCAAGGCCCACCACATTTGGTATGTAATTTCCTCTTATCCTAACTTAGAGCAAGGCTAAGGCTTGGTTGTGCCAGGACAATGGGATGTGCCTGGAATTCGATTGTTTCTTATGAAATGGAAAAAGAGGGGTCTGGTAGGAGGTAGAATTATACTGTGAAATGACAAAGGAGAGCAGCAAGCATGCCACTGCACGGCCCTTACTGCCACCAGGACAGGCCCTCGGAGTGCCAGTGAGAGGCCCGGGAGTGCCACCCCATCTGCCCCCAAGAGTGGCCCAACCCTCCCCCCTAGCTGCCCATCTGAGACCTCTGGGCTGAGCAAGCCTTCTAGTTAGCTGCCCATCTGACCTCTGGGCTGAGCAAGCCTTCTAGTATTTGATAAGTACAATAAGTATTTCAACCTACCTGTGGTCCTTGTCCATAATTTTGACTGCCGTATGATGAATAGCTGTAAAATATAGAACTTTTTTAAAAAACTTGTATCAATACATAGTATAAACAAAATTAGATAGTAAACTATGCTACATAAGCTGCAAATTTCTTGGACTTACTATAAATCTGTGAATATTTCTAATTTAACTATTTGCCATGTAGGTGTTTATCAGAGGAGTTGGGGTGTAAATAACAGAAACCAAGATATACATAACAGCAAAAGTACCACTTGTCAATTGCAGGACCTGTGTTAATGAAGCTAATTAAGTGGGCTGGATATGTCCCATTTGTAGCTTTGAATGTGAGAGGCAGGGGAAATTGGCTTTGTTATATGTTAACCAGTTAATGCCTTTATTCAAGCTCAGGGTAACAGTGTGAAATTTGTAGAGGAATTCCAGTTCCGCAGACTTTCTCTCTGTAATTGGGTGGTGAAATTCCTTTGTAGAATAGCTACTTTAAAATTCATTATTGAGCAATCAGGCAGGTTAAAATGTTCCCCTACAGGTTTGTGTGTGTTACCATTTCTGAGGTCTGATTTGTGTCCATTTATCTTTTGTAATAGACACTCTCTGGTTTGGCCAATATACATGGCAAAGAGGCGCTTCTGGCACTTGATGGCATAGATCACAATTTGAAATAGACACTCTCTGGTTTGGCCAATATACATGGCAAAGAGGCGCTTCTGGCACTTGATGGCATAGATCACAATTTGATCTACATGGGGAGAGCCCCAGCAAAGTCACCAAAACCATATGGACATAAGTCTGCCGGTGTAGATCCAATTGTAGAAGGGGGGTTTTACTCTTATAAAAACAAAGCACCAGATAATGTATTTGCATTTTACGTGTAGCAGAGACTCAATCCTGCAAGTAGAGACAGTCTGGGAATGAAAAAGCTTGAGATACCCCCCTTGTCCAATAATGAATACATACAAGTGACTTTGAAGCAGTCCTGTAAATTTAAAAAGCATGGTATATATTGTGACATAGAACACACCAGTGGCTATTTTCTGAATCAGATTTTAATTGTTCTTAGCTATGAATTTATCAATTTCAAGGAGCACAAAGGTAGGTTTTAAAGTTCTGTGAAGAAAATTTACCTCACTTTACACTTCTGACTACCTATTTTGCCCAAAGTCTAATCGGTTACCATCATATCTGACTGTCCCACAAACTACTTAAGAAATACAAAAGGAAAAAGAATTCTGTATATTTAAGCCATCAGCCATACACACTTTCAAAAACAATTTATGTTAGCCACTGCCACTTTGATTTAAGCCTGTTTACTTTCTTTCCCTCATGAACTTTTGTAACAATGTATATTCTTGTAAAATTCTTGTAAATCATCATCATAATAAAAGTGCTTGCATGCCAAATTCTGCACCTGAGACACTGAAAAAATACCACCACATCAAGCCACAGGCATCAAATCTCATGTGAGAAATCCTGAATTCATCCACTGTTTTTTGTAGATTCTCAAAACAACTGGCAATATTAAAGACATACATACCTCTGCTTCTGTTCCCCAGATTGGCTGTAACTTCCAGAATCTATCAAAAAAAGAAAAGATATTTTTAGCAAGCAGCACTGAGCACTTCTGATTTACTGACTCTAGAGCACATAAGGGTACGTCTACACTATCAAGTTTCATCAAGGAAAGTTATGTGGACATGCAGAAATCGACAACAGCATAGTCACCAATGTGTGTTCACACTGGGAGCTTCAACACTGACAGCGGGAGCAATGCACCATAGGTATGCATCCCACAGTGCCTGGTGACACCATCTGTCACTAGTCATGAGGGACCGTGGAACAGAGCGCAGGACATCTTGGGACCATGCAAAACGTGCCACAGACACTGCTTTGTTCACGGGCTTCCAGGATACTTTCATGCCTTTTTTCCCCCAACTGCCATTCTTTACTGTGCACTCCAGCATCGGCAGCACGAAAAAACGGATCCCACATTTCTCCCACATATCCTCATAACAGTTAACAGAGTATTGCACAAGGCAGAGGAGAGCATCTTGAAAGTACTGATAAAGAAGACTCTGAGGAGCCTGAAAGTGTGATTGATACTGCCAGCAGCATCCTGTCATTGTGTCTGGTAGCCACAGAGCAGCTGTACAGGGTAGAGAGGCCCTTCTGGACTAGGGAAACCAGCAGTAATGGGTAGGATCACATCAGCATGCAGGTGTTTGGACAAAGACCAGTGGCTACAGAACCTTAGGATGCATAAAGCAATCTTCCTAAAGCTGTCTGCTGAGCTGGCCCCCAACCTGCGGCGCAAGGGTAGCTGAATGAGAGCTGTCCTCTCAGTTGAGAAGTGTGTGACAACGGCTGTGTGGAAGCTGGTGACTCAGGATTGCTACCAGTCAGCTGCAAATCAATTTGGAGTGGGGAAGGATACAGTTGGCCTTGTATTGCTGCGAGAGTGCAGGGCAATAAAGTGCACTCTGGAAAATGTGTATGACATAGTGGCTGGCTTTGCGGACATGGGATTTTCCTAAATGGGGGATGTGGAAATGCCCATTGTGATCATAGACCACCTGGCTTAGACCTTGCAGCCCTGGCTCATGAAACCATATATGGGGCACCTGGACTGCAGTAAGGAGTATTTTAACAGGCTGAGCCTTTTGGAGATTGAAAGCAAGATGGAGGGGTCTATGGCAGGCTAGATCTCATTGAGGACATTACTCCCACAGTTATTGCTGTGTGTTGCACTTAGATCACAAAAATTTTGCAAAGGGGGAACACTGATGTTCAGGGCTAAACACCGAGGCACAGCACTTGGCTGCACAGTTTGACCAGCCAGAGTATCAGGAAAATTATAATCACCAGCACATGCCAGAAAGAAACCCCAGTTTTTCATTTATGGAAGAATGCAAGTTGAGCAAAAGTCAAGCCTTTACTAGTCTACATCCACACAGAATCTTTCGGATTGCTGGCAGACAGATTCAGAGTACACAAGAACATTAAAAGAATGTGGATTTTGAGAGAAAAATATTTGCACTATGCTAAGTTTAACTGGCATGTAATTATACTTTGTAAGGCATACTTTTTAAATAAGGGTCTGAGCAGCAAACTTGGCACCTAAAGCTGGATCTTTACAAATCTAGATTTTAAAAGCCATCAGAGAGCAACATTAGGGTGAGATATTGGGGACACTTGAAACACAGGAATGCATCCGGTCTTGGCCCACCAATGGACTTAGCCTCCATAAACTTAACTGATAGTCTATACATTTCACATATGGTTTATTTTGATAGGCTAAGAGGTTCTAAGCTATTTTTGGAGAGTTTGGAGGGTTGTTTTGAGAGTTACCGCGCATTTCTTACAAACCAACCTTGTAAGAAGTTCTCTGGAACTTTGGCTTAGACCCAGACAATGCAAGCAGACTTGCTATTCCACATTTTAAGTCAGTTTTTAAAGCATCTTTTTTCTTAATAGGATACAGAATTTGTAATGTATATTTCAATTCTTTCCTGGATTAAAGTTTTCTGAATTATTAACCACTGAGACATCTTTGCTTCTAAATGTTCTCTTTTTATAAGAGCTGTCAGTTTAAGCATATAGTGGGAACAAAATGGAAATTCCAAACTGCTAATCTTTTTCAGGTGTGGGGAGAAAACTTCCACAACTTTGCTGCCAAGTCTCACTCACCCAGGTGGAAGGAGACTCATTTCATTCTGAATTAATTTTTAAGCAATTTTTAAAGCAATTTTCTCTTTATGTGGAAAGCCTGCTCTCTGCATTTCCAAGAGACACTTAACATCTTACGCCTTTCCTATCCATTTCTGTTACGCAACGTGTCACAGCTTAAGACAGCACTGTAATAGCTCAGCCCTGACAACATAAGTCTGACCCTCGGAAGCACCTGTGACCACAGGACTTCTCTTCTCCCTCAACTGCCATTGCTGCAAAGCTTAAAATATTCAGATGCAGTTGCACAGGGTGACAGGGCAGCTGGTTCACAAGAGGAGCTGTTTTTTAAACTGGGTCCCCTCATGGACCAGATTTTGCCTGGCACCCTGCCATGCTGCCTCTGATACAGTGGCAGGGGGCTCCTTGAGAGTGGAGCCAGAGTGCACTGGCTGTCAATCCCGCCCCTAGGGACTACAGAATAGTCGACTGACCAATAAGAATTCATGAGGCTGCTCAACTACTCAATTAACTGATATTTAACATCCCTAGTACAGTACTCTTTTAATCATGCTGTAGAGCACAGGTAGGGAACCTAAGGCCCCAGGGCCAGATACAGACCCCAGCTTCCTTGGATCCAGCCCCCTGAGGCTCAGGGCTCCCCCCAGCACTGGGGAACCCATGCTGGTGAAGGGCAAGTTTATTTTGTGTCTCACTTGTGTGCAACCTCTGACTGATTCTTCTACAGGTCAGTGGCCCCCCAATCCAAAAAAGGTTCCCCACAGCTGCTATAGAGTGCGTGAAGACTCCATACTTTCTGCGGGGGCTGAGGAAAAGTAAACTGACCCTCGAGCTATGTGGATATGCTTGTGGGAGACACCAGGGTCACCCCATTCAATCTGAGCCACAAGAGGGAACCGTTTCCACCCTGGTGCAGTGGTTGCCAGGATCCATTCAGCCCCATGCTGGCCTCGCTGCCACTGATGGGACCTAATCCGGCTCTTAAAGGGGGCCCCTGCTCAACACCACGGGAGCCCACAGCAGAAAGGAGTCACCAATGGAGCCAGGAGGAAGAGACACGTACCACCCCCAGCACGGGGTGGGGCTGGAGGGGGAAGAGGAACACACAAAGCCCGCCCCCAGGAGGGGGGGATGGGGCTGGGGGAAGGACACACAGAATCCCCCCCCGAAGGAGGGGGCGGGGCTGGGGGGAGAGAGGAACACACGCACCCCCCAAAGGGGGAGGGGGCGGGGCTGGGGGAGGACACACAGAATCCCCCCCCCCAAGGGGGGGACCGGGGGGGGGGGGGGGGGA